CCACCACGTGTGCGCGCACACACACACACACTCAGCTATCTGCAAGCTAACTGGGGGCAGCAGGCATCCACACCCATGGGCTGTTCTTCCCTTTCAGCATTGGCCATTCAAGGGCCCGGGGCCCAGGGAGAGTGAGAACGAGTGGTGGATGATACAGGGAATCTGTCCAGGTCAGTTCCTCCTCACTCATCACTGGGCGATGACCTGGTGCACACCTCCGGTGTCCTGAAGCTCACATGCTTTCTCTCTCATCCCCACCTCCCACAGCCACCAGGTGGGTTCTAACTTGGCCCATCTGTAGAGGCTCAGGGGTGACTTGGTCTCTGTCCACCTGATGGCAAAGCAACTCCCCCAGGAAGGTCAGCTAATATTTAGAGCCTTCCTGCATGGCCAGCAGCATGGTGGACTGCACCCTCTCATGCAACATTGGGCATGGGGTGCATTCTCAAGGGAAGAAAGGGACTAAGGAAAGTCCAAGTTCAAATCCCTGGGTGACCCCGCTCCCCTCTGCAAAGTCCACACGTTGTCCCTTCTGTTCACAGGCATCGCTTTAAAAACTTTCGTATTTTACATTTTTATTTTTTGGTTTGCATTTATTTTTAACGATAAAGAATAACATAAAATTACACATATTCACGGGGCGCCCTGTGCGGTTTCCATGCAGGTCTGCGTACATTGTGCAATGCTAAACCAGGGTGAACGCATCTCTCTCTCTGTTTCTTTATGGTAAGAACTTTCACACCCTTTCCTCCAGCTTTCTGAAGGCGCAGGGCATTGTCCTTACGGGCTGTAGCCGCCAACTGTGCTGCAGCGCAACAGAACTTACCGCTCCCAGGCGGGCAACAGCGAGGCACTCACTGATCTCCACCTTTCCCCACTCCTCCCTCCCCTGTTTCAGATTTTAAGGCGCATAACATGCTTGGGCTTTAAAAACGGGGCTGCTCTTCGGGATGCGGGGCGAGGACCGGATTTGTGGCTGCGCGACCGCTCTCCGCGGAACGCGGGAAACCGACCAGCAGCAAGAACCAAAGCAAAGCCCGGCTCCCGCCACTGCGGCTTCGTCTACTGCGCAGGCGCCGCTCCAGACTGCCGCAAGCCGACTGGCCCCTCGTGGGCGAAACCATTTCCAGGAGGCAGGGGAGTGTGACGAATCCCCAGGCCTCACGAACATAGTCCAAGCCACCCTCTGGCCAATCAGAAAGTTTCTTTTATCACCGCCTCTGCTACTCACGTTGAAGCTGCTTTTCCCGTGACGCTTCTGCGCGGGAGCGGGAGATGACAGTGATTGACATCATTTAAAACCACTTGCCAAGCGGCGTGAAGTGGAAGAACAGATACCGCTGCGAATTGTCTCTCTAGAAAAGAAGGTAAGCCCCGCCCCTTCCTCCTACTGGGTCTCAGCTGGACATTGGGGGTGGGAGCTTTTGGCAGCAGCCAATCGGGGGCCGCCTGGAGGAGGGGGCGGGGCAGCGGACGGTGGTTGCCAAGCGAGGGCTTTTCGCTTGGTGCTTGGGACCCGGGGGTCGTCGAGTGTGTTTGTCCCCGACTCCACGGCAGCGGCCTGAGCAGAGGGGCAGCGGGATCCTCATCGTCCCGCCTGCTCTTGTCATACTGCCCCGATCCGGGACCCCTCTGGAGTCCTGCTCCCTCCCACCCTAGCTCTCGGTCTCCCAGCCCCGCCCAGGAGGTCCAGGCCCCATCCCGCCGGGTCCCCACCGGGCCACGGGCGCAGGGGACCAGCCCTCCCCGCTTCCACCGCCCAGGCCGCGAAACCCACCCTCCGACGCCTCTAGCAGCTGCTCTTCACTCCGGGTCGGTGGTAGTGGTGGTTACCATGGTGAAGCTGGCAGCCAAATGCATCCTGGCAGGTGAGTCTGGAAACCCGCGCCGACTTCCGCGGTCTCCGGAGTCCGCGGGCTTCGTAATTCTCCGGGAGCGTTGGTTCACGTGAAGTGTCCACCCTCTCCCCGTGGCGGCGGCTGCGATTCCGACAGAGCAGATTCCGTCGGGCGGGGAAGAATTCTCTTTCTGAGCCCCTGCTCCCTGCCCTTCCGACTCCGCCTTCGCCCGCTGACCTGTACTCCGGAGGCGCAGACGCCTTTAACCATCAGGCTAAGCAAACCCTCGGCGCTTCAACTAAACATTTGCTGTACCTCAAAGTTAGGAATCACTGACTTTGGTATTCTTCACACATAGGATTATTTTCCTGATCCCACTCCTCTGGTAAGAGGGCTAGGAAAGAGGGCTTACAGTACAGGGGGCAGAGTGTGCAGAGGCACCTGTTAGTTGACTACCTGCCGCCCATTTTCAGGATAACATTGAGTCCCAGCAAAGCAGGAATCTGTGTTTCATTGACCTACAAACAGCCAGCAAAAATGCCCGGAACATAGTAGGTACTCAATAAATACTTGTAGAATGAATGGATCTCTGGCAGTCACATTGTAGTGTTTTCCCTGAATCGGTCTGCACGTTTAGGAAGCAGTTGCTTAGATTATATGTTGGTAGAGGCAGAACACGTGCCTTTTACTGATTCCTTGCTGTACGCCAGACACGTGTTTTCCCTTCAATCCTGTCTCTGTAGCACCCTCGGGTAGGTTCTGATTTTCCCTGATCTTACCTAGCGAAGGTCATACCCAGGATTTCCACACCCAAGTCCCTGAACGAGTGTGACTGTTGAGACCCGTGACCTTGCAGGCCTCCCTAAGAAGTGGTGAGAAATTCTGTGAAGAAAAGAAAAGATTCCTTTTGACTCCTCTCTCTCAGGCTGAAAGTAGAGGATAGTATATTTAATGACTTTCTAATTTGAAAATAAAAGGGTCGCACAGAAAGATGACTGACAGCAGTGATTCTGATCAGACTGGAGCAAAAGAAACCAATGGTTCCCCAGAGACTCTAGTGCCCAGAGCGCCAGGGGAGGCGATATTGGATAACAAAAGCCTTCTGGCTGCTCTCTTCCCGGCGGCCGGCATGTTGGACTGTTTCCTTAAGCTTCAGTCTCTCATGGATAAGGTGGGACTGTTTTTTTTTTTTTTTTTTTTCCTAAAGTTAGATTTAAAAGAACAACAACGAAACAAAATAACAAAACAAAAACAAAACAATGGCCTTTCTCTCTCTCTGAGTGATGTTTCTCATTCTTTTTTAATTGAGCTTCCTTCCTGGAGCTGGCTCCTGACTGCTGCTTGCGTGGGGCACTGTGCTAGACCCTCATTACTGGCCTCACTGAGTCCTCACAGCAACCCCATGGGCTTGGTACATCTGTGGTTCTCATTGACAGATGAGGCAAATGAGGCTCAGAGAGGGGAGACCACTTGCCCTGAGTCACACAGCCAGCAGCAGCAGAGCTGCATGGTTCAGAGCCTGGGTCCAGACCCAGGGCTTTGTTCGTACCCAGGCTACACTGGGCTGAGGCTTGTTCCTTGTAGCCCTTCTTTCCCCCAACTCTCTTGGGTACTTGTTTCACCTGATTGCAGTCATGACCAGGTCAGTGGCCCCTGAACTCCGCCTGGCCCAGTGTCTGCAGCCTTCTTTCAAGGGCTCAAGGGCATCTCTTCTCAGAAGTCTCCAGGGACCACAGACCTCAGCCCAGTGCATCAGCTTGCCATGGCAGCACCCCCAGATCCTCACAGCACCCCTCACTGGTTTTATTTTTACTTTCACCCCTTGTAGGCCCACATTTTTTGGTCTCACAAAACTAGTCGTCAAAGGACCTAATATTCACTCAACAGATATTTATTGAACATCTACTATGTGTGAGTCACCATGCAAAGTGCAGTGGGAAGGCAAAGGTGGGTCAGCCGGCCCCACACTCCAGGAGGGGCTGAGGAGGGCAGAGGTTGTGCCACGACACAGACTGCCTTTGAGTGCAGGCGCCGGCCAAGTACCTCAGAACACAGTGCTGCTTTCTGTGTTCAGACGGAGAGGGGGAACCACCCTTGACACTTATCTATAATTTATTTGGTTAAAACAAATAGCCATCACCATACGTAGGCACCATGTATATGAATTCATTAAATCTCCTTAACGGTCTATGACGTGGGTGTTGTTATCTGATCTACAGATGTAGCAACTATGGCGGGAGAGGTTAAGTGACTGACCTGACGTCACCCAGCTAGTATGTGATGGAGCCTGAGTCTGCCACTAAATACTGTGGGTCACTGTGCCCTTAAGTGCCATGGGACTCTGCTTGTCCTGGGTGTGGGAGGATCGTCGTGCCTCGCTGGAAGGTAGTCCTGACGTCAGGTGCTACTGCACTGAGCCAGGGCACCACCTGCTGAAGACAAGGAGGAGAGGTGACCTCAGGCCAGAGAGGAAGCCACCAGCTAGCCTTTCCTGGAGGGAGCGGCAGATCTGGACTTGGGTCGGCAGGAGTGGCCTGGAGGGATGTGAGGGACCAGAGAACAGGCGTGGAGAGAGCAGTTCCTGTGGAAGGGCCGTTGGAAGGAATTGGAAGGGACCTTGGGGCGGGGGGCGGCTCGGTGGCGGAGCCCTCGCCCAGCACGCACAAGGCCCGGGGTTGGGTTCCCAGCCCACAGAAAGAAAGGAGGAAGAGCCACAGAGAACTCCTGTGAAGGACCCGCCTGTCGGGCCAGGCCGGGCCGGAGCGAGGAGGACAAGGGCGGGAGGCCCTTGGGCAGCACTGCCACCCACGGCCGGCCGTCACGAACAACGTGGCCTTTAGTGGGAGATTTTATAATGGGCCTGTTCCTCAGATGGGGGCCGGAGAAGCTGGAGGACCCGGGCCGTGGACCCCGGGCTGCTGGAAACCCAGAGACGGACCCCTGAGCTGGGAGGCGGCCTCCGAGGAGGGGCTGCCGGCTGCCCGGGCACCCAGGAGTCACCAGCATCAGGTCACTGGGCCCGTCTCCCACGCGAAAGAGCTCTGCCCTGCGTCAGGGCCGGAGCAACCGAACCAGCTCCAGACTGCCCGCGGGGTCTGCGCTGACCACCCCTGGAACCCGGGACCGCCCGACGGGGTCCAGGTAGGAACCAGGTGCTCCAGGCGAGGGTCCGCCACACAGTGGTTGCATCTGGGAGGCGGAGGAGCAGCCTGTGTGGGTCACCAAGGCCAGGGGACAGGCTCGGGAAGAAGGGACACTTCAGGCTGCCCCGCCCTCCAAGACATGAAGGACAGGCGCTGAAGAGAGGCCCCTGGGCCTGGCAGTTAGGAGGTCGGTGGCCTGGCATCCCATCCTGCGGGCTCAGTCCTGCCGCCCCCTGGTCCTCCGGGCTTAGCCATTGGCCCCCGGGAGGCCCCCACGCTGACCGGCCGCTGGCTGGACCCCGATGCTCCTCAGACGCTCTGTCCGGGCGGGCGCTGGCCATGCTGCTGCTCGGTGTGCTCCCCGCCTCCTCGAGCCCACCCCGGAGGCCTCCCCTGAGTGCTGGTGACTGGCCGACGGCCAGAGACGGTCTGTGGGGAGTCCACAGCAGGAAGAGCCACTTCCCAACTGGATTCAGGAGCAGAAGTGGAGTCGGAGGGTGTCCGCATCAAGGTGCAAGGGAGGAAAGTGACGTGCTCTGGGACAGGTGGGGGCCCGTGCCAGTCCAGGCTGTGGCGTCCAGGTGTCCTGGAGGGCTGCGCTGATGGACCGGGCCTGGAGGAGGGAGCACGGTGTTGGAACCCTAGGCAGGTCACCCAGCTTCTCTGAGCCTCGGTCTCTTCCTCTGTCGGGTGAGGTGGATGCTGCAGGGCACCGGGTGGGAAGGAAGGAATGCGTGTGCCTGGGTCCATGAGGGGAGCGCAGATGGGAAAGCCAGCCCTGAGCAGCGCTCCACTCGCAGGCGCAGAGCTCACGGCAGGAAAGGCCACGAGAAGTCATGATCGTCTCAGAAGAGAAGATCCGGGTGGGAAAGACGAGCGTCGAGGAGAGGGGCGGCGGAGGTACAGCCAGGAGCCCAGAGGGGCAAGTTAGAGGGACAGGTGCCCCGGACATTTTGCTGAGGGTCGGGAAGCAGAGACCGGTCCTGTCAGGGCTGGAGTCTGCCCACAGGACACCTGGCGTCACAGGAGGCCGGGCGGGCGTGGGCAGAGGGGCATACAGGCGGCACGAGGAGCGCTGGGCTCTGGAGAGGTTCAGACCGCAGGCTAGGAACCGCGACAGGGACTGACCCGCGGAGCAGTGGCCACCGCTGCAGGCGGGTTGTGGAGAGGCCCAGAAGGTGCCCGCCAGGGTGGGCTGCAGGGTGTCCCTCGGCAGCGGCTTCTAGGACGGTAACGCAGCTCGGGCCTCTTGCTCCCCAGTGCACACCAGGTCCAGGAGTCCCCTGGGCTCCAGTCGCCCGCTCTCTGCTCCTCCAGAGGGACTTCCGGGTGAATTCAAGTTGGAAAGTGACGGGTTCCCCGGGTGTGTCTCACTGGAGGACAGTGACTTCTGGGCCGTTCTTTAGGATGAGAGCGTCCTTAGCCGCACGCAGAGGAGCCCCGGCCCTCTTGGGTCTCGAAGCTGGTCGCATCGTCTTGTTGCCCTGCCTGGGGCCTCGCGGGCTCCCTGAGAGCCGAGGACTTTTGCCCTGGAAACTCGGTGCAGTTCTGGGGCAGGGGTCCTCAGTTCTGATGGGACCCGAGTGACACTTCTCCTCTGCTCTGGCTCAGGAGACCCGACGGTGGGCAAGACGGCCCTGGCGCAGCTCTTCCGCAGCGACGGGGTGCACTTCCAGAACTACACCCTGGTGAGCAGGGGCCCACAGCCCAGGGAGCGGCCTGCAGAGAGGCCTGCCAGAGCACAGCACGCCACCCCCACCAGCAGCTCGCTCGTGGGCAGGGAGGAGGGCCGACTCCTGTACTCATGGCCCTTCTCCTCCGGGGCACAAGCACCCGGCGGGGGACATCCCCCGGTGTGGGGTTCTTGGGTCTTCCTGCATCTCCACGGGGCCCCTGACGCCCATGTCCTGGGTCTTCCTTGGCAGACAGCAGGGGTGGATTTGGTGGTGAAGACGGTGCCAGTTCCCGACACCGGCGACAGTGTGGTAAGTGGCACCCCCCGCCCGGGGGCACCGGGCTCCTCCTGTGGGCCACACTGACCAGTGTGGGACCAGTACAGGGACTGGGCCCAGATTCACCTGAGCATCGGGGACCCGATCAGGGGACGCAGAAATTGTTCGAGAGGGACCGAGGGGTTGGAGTACTGGGGAACCCGCCTCCCCAGAGGAGCTGGCTGCCCAGGGTCCCTCCTCAGCAGTCCCAAGGCTCTTGAAGTTCAACGGCAAGAGGTCGTTTGTGTCCCTTCCTGGCAGGAGGGTTTGTAGCTCTCCAGATTCTTAAAGAGACCCGTGAGCCAAAAAGAAAACCAGGGAGCAGTCCTGCGCTTCCTGGTGCAGGTGACGTGGCGCCCGCACCCACAGAGCAGGGGCCAGGGGTCAGAAGCTGGAGGAGGGGCTCCCACCTGGGCTGGGTGAGTGGACAGGTGGGAAGGGGCATCTGGTGCCCTCTGTCTGAGTGGCGCCTTGGCCATCCCAGTACGACATCAGCCTGGCCTACTTTGAGCGCCTTCCCAGGTCTGCTCAGTGACCTCCTTTAGAAAGAGTCGTTTTAAGACTTGGAAATCAATTTGGTTAACAAAGTGCGCCATGACCTTTCGGAACCCAGAGCTCCTCGGCCTGGTTGGCATTCCACTCTGCCAGGTGGGAGGCCAGCCTGTGCCCTGTATTTCTGCACTCGGGTCAGGAGGGCTGAGGCTCCCTGCAGACCATACTGGGTGGGGTGGGGACCTGCCGCTGCCTCCCGGGGGCTCTGGAGTCCCTTCTCCCCGTTTCTCTCTGGCGCCCCGGGAAAGCGTGTGTGAAACGTGTGTGCAGTGGGTACGTGCACTTCGCCACCAAGCCCACCCTGCGGTGACGGGGTGACAGAGTGGCAGCAGTGCTCGAGGCCCATGGTTTCCCTCGTGCCCCTCGCTGGGACTTGCTTTCTGATTGCAGGAGCTCTTCATTTTTGACTCGGCCGGCAAGGAGCTGTTTTCTGAAATGCTGGATAAATTGGCAAGTAGCACGCGACCTCCTTCCTGGTCTCCTCCTCCACCCGCTCCTGCCACACCGTGTGCCCCTGAGGCCACTCCCACCCGAGTCTCAGCCCACCTCAGCCATCCTGAGGCTGCCCTGGCAAAACTCTGTACAGGGGCAAGTAGGAACGTTAGCCTGTGACGCCCCACCTGCTCTAGAGTGGCCAAGTGACCCCCGCCTGCTCTAGAGTGGCCGAGTGACACCCCGCCTGCTCTAGAGTGGCCGAGTGACCCCTCCTGCTCTAGAGTGGCCGAGTGACCCCTCCTGCTCTAGAGTGGCCGAGTGATGCCCCCCCCCCCGCTCTAGAATGGCCGAGTGACATCCTGCCTACTCTAGAGTGACCAAGTTTTCAAAGGCGCCAGAGCCCCTCCCCCAGCCTCCCCAAGAGCCCTCCCAAAGGGGGTGCTCTCAGCCACACATTTCCAGCCCCTCTGGGCAGAGGCTCCCCTTCCTGCCCTCCGTACACCCCACGTTCTGTGGTTGCTTGCCTCCGGGTCTCGCCGTGCCCACTAGCCGTCCCCCTGTCCTCCCAGGCCCCAGCTGGCTGTGCCCTCTACCCTGGGCCAGGTTGCCAACCCTGAGCCTGGACTCCTCCAGAGCCGCCTGCCTCCCCAGGAACAGCACGTTTTAATGGAAACTGTTTCCTCCCCTTTTTGTTGTGTAAGAGAAGTGGAGGCTGATGGGAGTTCCACGCAGGTCAACGTTGTGAGTTGATTCCTGATCCTTCCCACACCCCCAACAAAAGAGGAGATGCCTGTGGCGAGTCAGGGTCACGGGTCCTGTAGTTCACAGCTCCCTCCCACCGGCCCTGGCTCCAGGCCACCCTTGGCTTCAGCCTGATGCCAGGCCTGTCTGGGCCCTCACTGAGGCCAGGAAAGGAAGGGTTCTTGGGTTGAAGCCACACTGAGTGTCTCCTGCATGCACACAGCGGAGGTCAGTGTGGCTCTAGTGAGAATCCATGATCTCACCCGGAGGGTAGGCCAGTGGCCTTCGGGAGCCTCCAGGACCAGCATAGTGGGGAGGGGTCCCCAGAGCCAGTCCTGGGCTGACCTTCCAAGGACAGCTTGGAAAAAGGATTCTCCCTGTGTCTGGAAGCCTACTGACACCCCAGAAATAAACCAGAGGCTAATGGTGCAGGATGGCGGAGCCCACAGACTGCACAGAGCAGGTGTCCACACCCCGGTGGCAGGAAGCCCAGGACTCGAGCAGCCCCTGGAGCTGATGGCCCTCCAGAATGTCACCCTGGCTCCTAAGTGGTGCGTATTAGGGCTGCTGCTGCCACAGCAGGAGGAGCAGGAAGCCTTGTCTGCATTTTGAAAGCCAGGCCTGAAGAAGGTGCAGACGGGCGCCCCGGGGCTGGCTAGTGTGGGCAGCGCACTCAGGCTTGCGAGGACAGGAGTGCGTCCGCCTGCAGGGAAGGCCCTCCAAGGACACCGGGAGAGTGGGCCAGAGAGGCCCATGGCGGGGAGAGCAGGCTCTGGGCAGAGGAAGGCCTCCGTCCCGCCCGGCCCTCTCCAAACTCAGATTCCTCAGCTGCAAGTGGGACCACCCACTCCAGCCCTGCGAGTCCAGAGTGTCACCTGGCCCACAGCCCCAGCCAAGCATGGCCTGCACCCTCCTCCCCCCTAGCCCTGCCAGCCCCTGGGCAGGCCTTCCTTCAACCCATGGGCACTGCGGCACCTCCATGGCTGTTCCTGGCCCACCCTGTGGCTTCTCACGCCCCTCACCCACCTCCCTGCCTGAAAGCCAGATCGGCCCAGCCTGGGAGTCCCTGTGGTGTTCCTGACCTGTGCCTATCCTGTCCCCTCCCCCGCAGTGGGAGAGTCCCAACGTCCTGTGTCTGGTCTACGACGTGACCAACGAGCAGTCCTTCAACAGCTGTGGGAAGTGGCTGGAGAAGGTCCGGGCGCAGGCTCCAGGCACCACCCTGCCAGGTAGGACGGCAGCACCTGTCCTTAGCTCCAGAGCCTGAGGCCATCGCAGGGGTCGCTGTGGCACCGAGCTTTGGCCCCTGAGCTTTGGCCTGACAGCCCAGACTTGCTGCCTCTCAGCAGCCACGCCCGCCTCCCTCTCGGGGTCTGCACCGGGGGTGCCACCCTGCTGGCCACCAAGTCCTGGCGAGGCTCAAGATGATAGGGGGGAGGCACTGTAAGAGGAATTGATGTTTCCAGAAAGCCCACCCCGGGGAAGAAGGCCTCATTTCATCCTCTGTGTGGGGTGCAAGTGACATCCAAGTCCTGTTGTCACTTCTGAATGCCTTAAATCCGTTTACCTTGCTCCCTATGTGAGATCAACAAATTCTCCTCATTATAGACCAGGGAAAGCGGTCCCCAGAGACGGCTCGGGAATTAGCTGCAGCCGATGCAGCTGGGAACAGAGCTAAATTACCTCGGAGTCCCTGACTCAGAGCCCAGGCCCTGGATTAGTATTAATGACCATTTTAAAGTTTGCTCCATGCGCTAGGAATTACCGCAAGCGCACACATAAATGTGGCCTCGGCCTTCATGAGGCCTGCAGCCCTGAGGAGACAGGGACACAGGGACACGTGAAGCCTAGGAAAAACCCTGAGCCAACCACAAGTCAGAAGCAAAGCACCTTCACCCTCGGGGCAGCGCTGAACACCCAGGCGCCTGCCACCCCTCACCCGGGGTCAGGCCGCTCTTTGGTACCCGTGGACCACACGCTGCCTCTTTGTCTCTGCTGCTGACCCCCAGCCTGCCACGGCTGAGGGTGCCACCTGTGTTCTCTGGGCAGGTGTCCTGGTGGGAAACAAGACAGACCTGGCTGGCAGGCGGGCAGTGGACTCGGCCCAGGCCCGGGCGTGGGCGCTGGGCCAGGGCCTGGAATGTTTTGAAACGTCCGTGGTGAGTATCACTTGCAGTGTTGCTGAGGCTGACGTGGCCTCTGCTAGAAGCAGCTTTCAAACGGCCACGTGTCCAGTGGCTAGGCCACCATCTGTGGTCTGGTTTGGGCTGAGGTTCCCATTCCCAGCCCAGGATGTGTCCCATCCTTCTGGGCGCAGCCACGCTCGTCTGGCTGACCCGCGGGAACCTGCTGGTCCTTGGCTTTCCAGCACCCCTCTGTGTTTGAAATTTGAGGGCCAAAAAAATCAAAGTATTTCTTTAAACAAAACTTAAAATGTTAAAACAACAGCAACAAAAAGAAGAGTCTTCATCACCAAGACACTGTTACAGGTCAACAAGAGCCACCTTCCCAGGCCACCTGCCCTCCCAGGTGGCGAGGGGGAGGGAACAGTGTTTGCTGAGGGCCTACTGTGCGCCGGGCTTGGTGCACACTCTGTGTGCAGGCATCACAGCAGGACAGCTGCTCCTGTCCCTCTTATGCCAGTGACATGCAGACTCAGGTCGTGGAGCTGCCCTGGCTGCACAGCTGACAGTGAAGGACCAGGACCAGGACTCGGGCTCAGGTGGCTGGAAAGCTTGGCCTTCAAGCAGGTGCTCCCGCTGCCTCCCAGAACCTGCTGGGGCTCTTGGGGACATAATTCTAGGCGAGCCTGGTTAAAGGTCCTGCTCTACCCAGCCCCCGTCAGCGTCCGCGCTCCAGAGTGAGGTTATGATCAGTCCTTTGACAAAGGGCTCCTGCCACTGGAGCCTCTTCGTGCATTTGGAAAATGGTTCGATTCCCATCTATTTCCGGAGCCCAGAATTCCTCACTTTTTATGCTGGGATCTCCCAAGGTCGAGCCCGGGACACGCCACAGACCTGGTTCCCTTTGCTCACTTTGGGCCTCCTGAGAGGCGGGCTCCTGGGGTGGGGACCTGGACGGAGGCCAGAGGCCAGCCCTGTGCCAGCCAACGGGGCCCTGCTCCCAGCCCCAGGCAGCCCATCTGTGGAATGCAGTGACCCCACCCAGAGCCACCACCTCCCTGACTTCTTTGCCCGTTGAGCTGGGGACACTTCACGGCCGTCACGAGGCTGCACTTCGCCCAGGGTGGTCTCCAGACAGGTTCTCATGCTTCAGCCGCTGTCTGGGGCGCAGTGGGTTCTTCCTTCTGGCGACTTATTTCTTAAAAATTAGAGACGTGCAGGACCCTGAGAGCCCCTAATTCCCTCCCTTAGACACCACCCAGGGCGCGTCTTTAACTTCCCTGTTCCCCATAAAAATGTCCCCTGACCCTTGAGTCATGAGAAGCTCCTCATCTCAGCTGTCCCCTGCCTGGCCCTGCAAGGTGGGCAGCACCTTGACTGGGCGTCTCCCTGGCTGCAGGAGGGCAGAGGCAGGAGTCAGCAGGGCAGCGTGTTGCAGGGTGCCCGGCTGAGGCTTGTGGACCTCAGAGATGCCCTCCCTGTCCCCATGGACGCACCGTCCACCCCTGACGGCCCCAGCACCCTCCTTCAGGGGCTCCCACCTGACCCACTGGCCTGGAGGTGGGAGCGTGGCCACAGGTGCCACCTGACGGGAGGCAGTGCCAGCCATCCCACTGGCAGCCTGTCCTCCCTGGGCCACCAGAGCAGCCGGCCACCTCACCTGGCCTGGGGTCAGCTGGGTTACCTGGGCCTCAGGCTCTCCTGAAACCCTCCCCCTGACTGGGGGTGCAGGAGAGTGGGCTCCCCGGGAGCCCCCACCTCCCTGGCCACATTCTCCGCGAGGTCTCCCCTGTCCTCCCGCCGGGCGGCCGGGCTCTTCCTCCACAGCTGTTCTGCTCTGGCCTCTGGGCTCCTGTCACACGTGCAGCCAGGGTGGCCTTCAGGACAGGCTCCGTGGAAACGGGCCGGGGTCCAGGCCCTGCCCTGCCGTCTAAGTGGCGCGTGGCCGCCAGCAGACCCCCTCCCTGTGTCCCAGATCACTTGTAGAATCAGCGTGACAGTGGCCTCCCCTGATGGTGCCAGGTGGACGGGGCGGGACTCGGTGGCCCTGATGGCCCCCGCTGGAGCTGGGCAGGTGAGCGCGGCCTCAGCCCCCTGTCTCTGCAGAAGGAGATGGAGAGCTACGAGGCCCCCTTCCACTGCCTGGCCAAGCAGTTCCACCGTCTGTACCGGGAGAGGGTGGACGCCTTCCACACCCTGGTGTGAGCCGCCGCCTGGGCCGCCGTGGACCTGGCCGTGGCCTCTCCCTGGAGGACGAGTGGCGCTGGAGTTGCTCTGCGCCCCAGGACCTCAGGACAGCCGCAAATAAAACTAGGAGGAAGCGCAGCAGCCGCAGCCGTGTCCGTCCTTGGCCCATCCGTCGGTCCTTCCCAGAGCAGCCCGGGAGGCCTGCCCCAGCCGGGGGTCACCAGCTGTTGGAGTGGGGCGTGGAGCGTCCTGTCCACCCTGCATGGCTGGGTGCCGAGGTCCCGAAGGGCCTTCCACCTGCAAACCCCACGGTGGCTTTGGGCCCAGCCGGGACCCATGATGGCTGCGTGGGGCCGGGGCCTGTCCCTGCTCTGACCTGCTCCTAGGCTCCAGATGCCAGGGCTCCCTGAGGGGCTTGTCCCTGACAGAGCAGTGTCCTCTGCTGGCCTCCCCCGGGCCTCGCCTGTGAAGGGCCCACCTGGCCCAGCTGCGGGGAACCCTGAGTGGCAAGAGCCTGGGGCGCGGCCTTTCCCTCGCGACCACCTGCTAGCGAGCCGGGCAGCTGTCCCCTCTGTACACAGCACCACAGCTCCATCCTGTCCCCACCCCAGATTCACCTTCCCAGACCCCCCTGCATCGCCTGCTGCGCTGGTGACACCCACAGAGGCCCCTGGCCGCCTTGGCCCCTGCCGTGGGCTATGGCTGTCCCCAGGGCTCTGTGGCTTCGCCCCCCCCAGGCTCCACCCCTCTCCCCTCTGCCCCAGGCCTCTGCCCCGTGGGCACCGGCGGGGGTGGGCAGCCGGGTGCGTCCCGAGGGTGTGGGCAGTAATGGAAATTAACATGCTTCCTGGCCACGACCTGGACCTGCCGTCTCCCTGGCCCAGCACCTCGGGCTGACTTCGTCCCCAGGCGTGGGGTCTGGGCATCCACGCAGGGCGGCAGCAGCCGTGGGCCCCGCGGGCCGAGGGCGCCAGGGCCTCGCTCCCAACCCCTCCTGCCGCCTCCTGGGCTCCAGGGCAGGTCAGCCCGCCTCAAGGTCCCTGGAGTGAAGTGAGGGCCCTCGGGACCTGTGACATCAGGCCGCGTCCTGTCACTCCTCAACGTGCCCCTATTGCTGCCACCCCAGTCTCTGTCCCAACCCCCCACCGAGTCACTGCTGAGGGCTGAGGAGGCGCTGGCATTGTCTCCGGCCCTGGTGACACCAGGCGCTGGCCTCCACTGGAAACCCTCAACACTCGACCAAGGGAACGTGGCGGGCAGCATTTCCTGTGACCCTGAGCTGCCCCCGGGGCCCAGGACTGTGGACAGAGTTGGTGCTGAGGAGCCGATGCCTCAAGGTCACACCCCGGCCAGGAGCCGCCTGCCCCTGCCCTCCCACCCCTGTCCCTGTCAGAAGGTGGGCGCCTTGGCAGTGCCCCCCACCCCGCCCGCCATCCTGCCGCCCGAGCCAGGCGGGGGAGGCCCCAGAGACCCTGCGGAGGACACTGCCAGGAAGCAGCCCTGGTGCTGTGCCCCGCCTGGACGCCACTGACCACAGGAGCTGGTGCCAGCTGCAGGTGGGCGAGGGTGACCTTGGGAGCTCACACGTCCCCTGGGGGAGCAGAGACAGGTGGCTCCACACAGGGCTTGTTGGGGACCACAAGGACAGGAGCCACAGCTGGACAGAGCAGCTTCCCGCCTGGGAAAGGGCAGGGCTGCCCCCTCCTGAGGGCCCCAGCAGCAGAGGCTCAGCCCCCCAACGACCAGACACCCCAATTCCCACACAGGGCCGGGGGGAGGAGACCAGCTCCTGGAGTCCCATCCAGCGTGGCCTGCGCTTCAGGGACGGCTGGCCCACTGGTCAGGAGAACCCAGGGTAGAGCAGGAGGCCATGGGCAACTAGAGCCTGGGACTGGCCTAGGTCTGGAGCCCACTGCGTTGAGATCCCTGCAGTGAACTGGTTCTACTGGTCAATGAATGACCAAGATCATTTCCAATAACAGATAAATGGAGCAGTGGTCGGTGGTGACAGGCGTGACTGGGTTGGATGGGACTGAGTGGAGCTGACAGCCCGTGATCATCCACGGGCAGCAAGGACAGAAAGTGCAAAGGTCCTGGGGCACCAACAGCAGCCAGCATCAAGGCCAATAAGGCCGGGCGTGGGGCCTGTTGCATGCTGGGAGGGAGCAGGAGTCGGGGGGCCATGGTGGAGGATTCCGATTTCCATCCTGAGGCAACGGGAAGCCAGCGTTGGATGGACCCCATGGCGCTCTCCTCATCGTGCCCAGCACTACACAGGGAGCCTAGTGAGTGGCCACTGACCACCATCCTGTCCCCAGCGAGCCAACAGTGATGACGTGTGCCATCTGCGTGGCAGGCCCTGGTCCAGCTGGGGCATTTGCCACCAAGACAAGGATCCCCGCCCTCTGGGGCTGATGTCCTCATGGGAGGAGAGGTCTGATGTGACAGGTTGGTGACAGAGGATGACAGACAGGGGGAGGGTATGCAGGACAGGGGCAGCTGCAGGGCCCGTGAGGGTGACGTTGGGCAAGACTGGAGACAATTCAGAGTGACCGGCACCCGAGGCTCCACGGTCCTCAGCGCTCCTCAGGAGGACTGTGGCCTCCTTCTGTCCCCAGCGGCCAGCCCTGGAACTCTGTGAGAGGATCAGGGGCCATGTGTGGACATGGAGGGGCACTCGTGCATAGGACCCTTCTGTGACACGTGGCCTGGGCCAGGGGGTGGCCTCTGGGAAGCTGGCCCTTTGGCCGCCCTTGACCTCACCTGATTCCCCAGTGGGGGGGAGGGGAGGGTGACAGGATCCGGGCATCGGGCAAGCAGCCTCCCAAAGCAATGGCGCTGCCCCCTGGCTCCTGGGCACTCCCTGCCCCTCACCTGAGAGCAGTGGGGCTTCCTGCGGCGGGGAGGGGCACCCAAGGTCACCCGGAGGCTTGGGGCTGGGGGCAGCCAAGAGCAGGGCTTGTGGGAAGACGTCCACTTTGGTGCTAAAATGTCATGTTTCAAAAATAGGATTTGGGAAACTAACACTTCCTGGCCCCACCAGGTGACGGGAAGAAGAGCCAGCTGACCCCAGGCCCGAAAACTGCCACGCCCAGCGGGGCCCTGGGAGGAGCCTCCCACACTGGGCTTCTCGTCCAGCTGTCCCCGTGCCATCTGCTGCCCACCAGGGATCAGGATGGCAGAGCCAGGGCCCAGGAGGAGCGCCACACCCGGCCGCCAGGGATGTGGCAGGAAAGTAACTGCTGCCCGGGAAGAACACTACACTCCGAAGGGGCGAGCAAAGGCCCTGAGGCATAAAGCCGGGCCTCTAGGGAACTGTCCGGGCAGCGGGGGTTGGACAAGAGGGCACTCGGGAGGTGGGAGATCAGAGAGAAGCCACAGGAAGAGGAACAAGAAAACGAGGGTCTGCTCAGAGCAGAGGAATTGGAGAAGGAAATGGGAGCCGCTAAAGGGTTTTCACAGAGTGACTCACCCTGGTTCCTGCTTTGGAGTGACCAGCTGGGAAGCTGGAGGACAAGAGGGTGCGGAGGTGCCTATACGTGAGGCAGGGCTGACGGCGGAGGGGGACCGGGCTTGGGCGTCCCCAGCGTCAGCACACGTTTGGGAAGTGACCGCACATCCTCTGCCTTTGCAGCCCCTGCTGATTCTTTAAGTGCCTCGTCCCTTTACTCACTTTAGAAACAGGGCGAGGAGGGACATCGGGACCGCGGGAGAACCTGGGCCGCCAGCCCCTGGCGTCACGGCATCTAAGCACACGAGGCCCGTCACCCGCGCTCTGCTCTGCCGCGAAGGGCAGAGGGGAGAGACCAGAGAGGCACGGGGACAGGCACAGGGACGGGTGGGAGAGCCCAGAGCTGATGGGTGGAGGCAGGAATCGCGTTGATCTTCCTGTGGGTCCTTTAGCAGCAGCTGGGTGTTAATGGAAAGAGCACCAGCTTCACATCAGAGCAGAATTAGAGCTACAGCTGTGTGTTGTTAGGCAAGGTACTTACCCTCTCTGTTCCTCAGCTTCCCAGTTTATCAAATGAGACTGTTACCAACTTTACCAACGTTTGTGGATTAAGATACATAGCAAATGTTCAATGCACGGAGGCGATCTCAGATTTTCTGTAATAATATAACTCATTACTTTTTTTATTACATAAAAGTAGTGTATGCTTGACCGCAAACGAAAGAAGAAGAAAGAAAAAGAAAATCTAGAAAAGTCTAAAGAATCAAATGAGCGTCATTGGAAGCCTCTCGGGGGCCTGGCGCCCACTCAGGGCCCTTCTTCCCTCTGCGAATGAAAACATGTAGATGCTCTGAAACCAGAAAGCCAAGGTGCATGTCAGGTCACCGGTGGAAGTCCCTCGTCACTCAGGGACACCCGTGGACGTTGGTTCAAGTAAAAAAAAGAACCTGCCGTTCTGCGCGGTCGTTTCCTTGCTCAACCCACCTGCGCGTTGGGCAGACGGGGGGCGCCGGGCCCGTCCCCCGCTTCTCCCCTTAACGCTGCTGTCGCAGAGCTGGAAGCAAACGCCCGCTCTCTGTCGCGGTGGCCATTGTCACCTCTGATGCATGATGGCTCCGGAGCGCCCCCGTTGCCCCGTCCCCTCCCCGGGTTTCTCTTCCCTCGGTCTGTGACGACGCTGCCGTGGCCCTGTGCGGCCTCCGCCGTGGCCAGGTGGTCACTCAGGAGGAGCAGGCACAGCAGCGTGGACCCCGATCCGGTTTCTCCTCCAGGGCCGATTCCTGGAGGGACTTTCCAAAGGCTTTAATGGCATGTGACACATCGCCCTTCAGAGAGACGCTGCCCGTTCACAGCCCAGCAGGGCCGGCCCTGGACAGCTGGGGGGCGGGTGACGCAGGGACATTAAAGGGAGAGACGCGGAGAGGAGGGCGGAGGCCTCGTGACCCCAGGGCCAGCCCCGGCCAGGGGGCGCCCAGGGCCCAGGCACAGCCCACGGGTGACCGTGACGGATTAAGTCCTGACGCAATGGTTCCGTCGAACCCGGGGACAAAGCGAGGCAGAGACTCTTGGGTCTGATTGGAGCTGCTTTTCCAGAGAAGTCGGGAGCAGCCGCCCGGCTGCAGGACAGAAGGGGACACAGAGCTGCGGCAGCCCCGGGGTCCCACGCAGAGCTCCCGGGGGGCCAGGC